ACTGTCGTGCAATTCAATACCACGCCTAACCTTTCGGGGCCTTATGTGGTTCGCCTCTCCAAGTCCCGGGGCTTGGGTTACCGGTTTCCATGACTGAGCAGCAGGTCTTCGTGACTACGGGGTTCGCCCCGTCTGCTACTCTCCACGCAAATGTGTGTAATAAAGAAAAAATAGTGTCGCATCAAACGATATTCAGGGATCCTCGTGTCATGTTGCGATTTGTTCCGTTCAGTTCACAGTTCAGTCCCCCTAATTGGTTATATTTCGATTACAATGTTCTCAAGCAAAGTTTTATGAGGACGGAATGTCTAGAGTATAGCTGTCTCTCTCTATCGGATCACTTCTCCCTCCTCCTCCCCAACGTCGTACGTAGTTTAACTTGTCTTCGGGCTGCTTCTGGTTCTATCGAGCCTCACCCCCAGTCTGTCTCTTACTCGGAACGGAATCCATCAGATTCACAAGTCTAAACCATATTTCATGAACACTACAACCGGGTCCGACGACCAGTCACCTGACGAACAAATATCGCCTTTGCTCAACCGAATGGTTGAACAATGGCGGCCGTAGTTGATGCATGTAGTCATTCGCATACATCTTCGTCATGTACTGTGAGAGTATTCTTTTTACCCAAATAGAACGTTTTGCGAATTATAAGAAAAAATAGGACATTCTTCAATATTAAAGAACACTGTCATTTGGCCATCTCTAATTTGTCCCATATGTTGTTCCGAGTCTGATTTAAGGTGATTAGTCATTATTATTTTATGAAGGGGTGTGGCAAGCGTGTTCCATATCAATAGAAATAGATATTATGCGTAGATGTTTTTGTTCTCGTCGGGGTTTGTTGGAAAACGTCCATAATCGTTTTGGCTATCCTTTACTTTGTCGTCCGTCCGTGTGTGTGATTGCTTATCGTCTCTCTCTCTCTCTCTCTGTCCACGGGTGCTCCATATACTGATCCTCCTGTTCATACAATCTGTCAAGCTCATACCAGACCACCGGTCTTTTATCACGCTCGCATGCATGTCGTATCATGTGACAGTCTCATGCACTTGTCCGGCTGGTTTCACTTAAATGATTCTGGTTTCACATCTACACAGTACCATGCGTAAGCACGTCCCTGGTCGCTCACGTCAACAATGTTTCCTCGCATATGCTACGTCCAACACGCATGATGGCAAAAATTGTTTGTTGTTGTTGTTGTTCAATGTGTTTCTCCTTATCGACTGGTTCTGAGGGATTCGTGCCACCGGCTAGGCGACAGTTTTTCCCTTCTGTCTCATCCTCGTCACCAGTTCCCTCGTCTGTTCACTCCTTTCGTACGATTGCATCAACTGGTTGGTTTATACACCTCCGTCTCTCACACACGCACACAGGTATCTATCCCTTTGGTCATTGCTGGTCAGTTAGAAACGCGAACCAGCAGTGATTCACTTTCGTCGTAATGCACCGCACACATCTGTCATCAGTTCAACGGTGCATCACTGGATTCGGTATATCGTGAATGTTTCAACATTCACTTCTACTTGCATTGTCCGCCGTGCCCTCATTCCTCAGCCAGCCTCCCCTGCGAACGATCCGCTCATTCACATCGCTTTTTGCGGCTCAGATCTATCGCTCATCTCTCCCGCTGTCTTTATTCAAAGGCACTTGCGTTTCACTAGGTCACACGAGTCTGTTTGTTGTTGTTGTTATTATTGAGTTATTTGAATCCGTATGATGCAACTCAAACCGACTTTTTTAAGGTGATTTGATTTGTCGCATTCATCCCTTTTCGCTTCTATGGTTTCAGCTACCTTGTCTCTCTGTGTGTGCATGGCTTTATGATGCCTCCAGAAGATTCTCAATGCTCAGTTTCTTCTGTATCGCGTTTCACCCTATCCGCTTTTAGTTTTCTTGGCTTTGCATCGTTCCCTGGCAGGGTAGTTGGGCTTCCCTAATCCCGATTCAGCCTGTGGTATTCACTTGCATCATAGTCTGATATGCGGATTTCACTGACCCGGACTTCAGTCTCGGTATGAGCCCGATGAGTGGGCATATACTACAGTCGTACAGAGGTGATTTGTCAATGTCGTGAATATTGTAGCGGTAACGGCAAAGGACTAACGAAGTAACGACCGAGTGACCAAACAATGGACTCAACTAAGCTGATACAGTAATAAAGCAAGTTAATCTAAACCCACGGTCTAAACTGAGAACAGAAACAGCCAGTTACTGTGTTGTATATGATGTGGTTCTATAAATACTAGTACACTATAATAAATTGACCTACAACCAAGTTGACAAATTCAGGCAGCGAAACGGTGAAGATCAGAATGGTATATCGTAACGGTGATACATTTCATGTCGTGTCACTATAATGAAGAGCGATTGACTGTTCGATGGATGTGAAATGCGAGAGGGATAACGAATAATCTGTACAAAGAAAACAATGAGAGATATTGGAACTTGTAAATAGGTCGGAGATTACTAGGTTATAAATGCAATCTGCCACAAGAAAAAATCAGTCCATATTAATAACAAAGTGTAAACTGGGAATGCATTCTTACGTTACCGCAATAGGATGGAACTGCAACTATCAGTATAGACGGTGGAGAATTCCGTTGACTATATGCCGGTTTCCTCAACACCGCGCCTACTGCTGACAGTGGCGACATAGAGGAAAGCAGGCTCACACGCTCTCACATCGTACGCTCTATTAGTTTCTCCGAAGGTTATCCGAAAGTGTCCTCTTTTGAGGAAGCACCAATACCACCAAATGACATCAAGACGCATGACAGGTAGATAATATGTCAGTTAGTCCATTTGATTCCAGTGACACTCCATCTGGGATGAGAAGCATTCTGTTCTGTACATGTTCCCCATTGCATTGCCCGGATTTTCTCAGATTTTCCCGCAATTTGTTTGACAGCATCGTTCACTGAGACCATTAGAACACTATTCGATCATTTCACGATTGCTGGTTGTGTGTAGACTGCGGCGTTCCACAGTCAATAAACTGTCATTCTTACAATACGCCTGCGTCTCTCTCTCTCTCTCTCTCTCTTTGTGTGCCATTTTTCTTGTCATGCAACAAGTGACACTGACGCTGCACTACCGTGATGGGTGCTATCCTCAAAATTGGAACATACCAAGCACAATAAACCGTTTTACGGGGCATCTCGTGTGACCAACAGATCAGATTGCAGTGCAGAGTAATGCATAAGTCGAAACTGTCATCGCGGCGCGAGAATTTCCCCCGGTTTGCTGTCCGGTGCTCAGATTGTTTGTCGTACATGTTTCGTGTCGAAGCTCTATAGCGGCTAGCCTCATGTGAACCGCAATACCGAACTTATCCCTGTCAGTGTATCCATATGTATCAACTGAGTGCGGTAGAAAATCCCTCTGAACTAGTGGCCTGGGCGCAATATCATTACCCTCACTTTTTTGTACGGATGATATCTATCACAAGTTCTGTGTAGAGTGAGTTTCGACAAGCCAAACGACCTCTGATTGTTCAAAATACACAGAACCCTGGTCGTGGTTTTTTGCTACCACGAAACATTTGTGCGACTGTTTGCTTGTGTGTGGGCTGTGAACAATAGGTGGCCGTTCAGTTCTTTCCGATTTACCGTGTACTGAACCGTTTGTGATTACCATTCAAAATAGTATATTTGATGTCGCGGTGTGTGTGAGAGTGTGAACTGCCATGACAAAAGTGTTTGCTTTTTGTGGTCCGTGTGATCATCATTCGTTTGTTTCTCATTTTTCTCCTCTCATTCCCCTAATGTGGATAATAACATCAGAGTACTGGAGGGCATTTGTCACCGCGTGAATTGGGATCACAGAAACTCCGGGGAAATAGTCCGCGCAGTCCCTGCGGTACGGAACAATCCAAACCGAACTATACGGATAATTTGCAATCCGAAGCGTTGAATCCGACACACGAAGAACACGCTGGAACACCGACGCCTCCGTCTGTGGTTAAACGTATTCTTTTGACCAACGGACCCAGCACCATCTCGGGGTCGACCACGATCACGCGTCCACGTACTGTGCACACTTCTCCGGATAAAGATATGGGATTCAGTGAGAATTCCCTATCCCCTTTGGCCGTCGAGTCCACTACTCCCACAGCTGATATCTTGCCAGGACCAATCAGTCTACAGGATCCAGTTAATGTGACCACCAAGGCGTGCACCACAATTCGGCATCGAAATTCTGCCGGAGCTGACTCTTCCTGTTCCTCAACTACGTCGTTCTTCTCCACCGGGTCTGCTGGACTGTCTTCTGCACCCAGCACCCAATCAGCAGATTGTAGTCCAACAGGGGATCAGTTATTCCAACGAGTGGCTCTGTTTCGTGCCGGATTGGCTGCCCAACCCAAATCAGATGCTTTGCTCAAACAATCCTCCGGTCCCGTCGGTCCAAGTCAGCATTCATTGTATGATGGAATGGAATTTTCCGAATTATCCAGAATAGTAGCTGCCTCTGACGTGCTATCCGCACAATCCGTCGATCTGTTAAGCAAACGAATTGCTCCTCTTGCAGAGGATGAAATCGGTGAACACACGATCAAACAGGAGAAACGTCGGGACTGGGATCCCCGACGTGAACGAGAAAACTCGCCAAATCCTAGCAACGATGAGAGTGAGTTCGTTTTTGTTTTGTATTCCTCCCACTCTCAAATTATCTATATGTACATTTATCACCGTCAACGAATTATACCAATTCATCGGTCCCAAATGGCCGATGATGGAAATTTACTGTGCTTATTATGTTCATATCTCCATAGGCTACTGATAGAAAATCCAGGTTTTCATCGCAACTGGTACACAAAAGTAAACATTCAATGCAGTTGAATGTCAGGTTTTATTGTTTAATTTTGGGATGATCAAAACGTAATTTCTGAGCTTGTTTATTTACAGAGACACGTGTTACCTAATACGTACACATAAACTGCACTTAGATCATGAATCCGTTTATCTGTCTCTTGTCTTTATTACCTTATTCTGGTTTTAAGGCATCCAGCCAGCTCGTTTAGTTTCGGTTATCCGTTTCCTTCGGGTGTGTTTGGTTTCTTTGTGTTTGATTTTTTAAGTGGGACTGGATGTGAGTCTATTCACTTTTTTCAGCGTAGGAAAGTAGACTCGCGGTTACCCAGAGCCTTTGGCTATCCTAATTCTGACCTACAGGGCAGAGGGGTGGGGTCAAACGTTCAAGTTGCCCAATACGCCTTGATGCCCAATCTAGCCGGTGACCACTGCCACAACTGGGAAGGTGTGTGGTTCGTACACCTCTTCTTTGATTTAGAATCAGGGTTTTTGACCAACTCTCTTAAGCGAACTGCCAGTGGTTCACCAACCCGGTTATAGCTTCGGATTTCGGCTTTTCTTTCTTTCACTTTGGTGGGAAAATACGAGAAGGCAATGAGTAGGGCTTCCCCAGCAGAGGCTATTGGAGACGCTTAGTCGTATGGGAGAATTCCGTGAGGTGCAAGGGAAGGGTGACCAGCCGCAACCCTAGACACCCACCCCCGACCATACTGAAGCTTTTTGAGGCTCGAGAGCCCGTGTGAAAGACATATTTCCTTGCGTTTGTCAAACCTTGGACGCCGTTTAGGTTCAAGTTGTTGTCAGGCAGATTGAAGCTTTATGTTACAATTGTGAAAAGTTCAGTATCCTCGGTGAGATTCGAACCCCAGGCACGGACGCTGCCCACGCTTTCGTACAGCGCACGCCCTACCAGTTGAGTTAGGGAGCCACTCCGATG